CAGGGAGTCACTGCAGCCTGCCCAGTGAGGTGCCCTCTGCTCCCAGAAGGGAGATGCCAAGTTACTCCTGGGGCTGAGCTGAGTGCACAAGTGTCTCCCCTGAGAGTCCACCACCCCCAGGATCTGATCCAGCTCTCCCGCCCAGGCCTCTCCAACTCAGCTCTGTCTCCTGGGTCTGTGTCTTGCTTGACTTTACTGGAGAGAGCCTGCTTTGTATCCATAAACCTTTATGCTGACCCTGGAGGCTTTGCTGCTAAAGATCCCCCATCCCTGCTGGGCTGGAAATAAATCTGTTATCACCAGGGACAGTAAACCTACCAGATGCTTCCCGAGGGTGTGGCCAAGGTGCCATTCAGGTGGCAGTAACCTCCAGCCTGTGCTTAATAGTTTGGCTTATCAACATGCCCACACCCAGCACCTACAATGCTGACCATGCTATTGCCTCTCCTTTATCTTGCCTCATTACCCAGAAGGAGAAAGTTCAGGCTGGTAGAGAAGAGCAGGACACAGAGTTGCCAGCATTTCTTCCTCTGACCCCAGGTGGGAGCTACCTCCTCAGTGCCAGAGCCCAAAACCGATGCAGCAGCCCTGGGCCTGAAGTTCTGTCTTGGGGGCTTTCATCCTATTCTCCTGGCTTCAGCAGCCCAACAGAGCAATAGCACCCAAGGCCTCAGTGCTGGGGGAGCAGGGTTACATGCAGAGAGCCGTCAGCTCAGATGAGAGGAGAGGAAGGCTGGTGGCAGGTGTGACACAGCCAGAGACACAATGCACTGTGATGCTGCTTTGTCCTACACCCCATGGAAATATGAGTGCTTCATGAACGCAAACAAATTGACCCTCCCGGCTCCTTCAGGGAGCGAGTCTGGATTACTATTCCCATGTTACAGCCAAAGCTGCCCATGACAGCAAGTGTCACAGAACCCAAAAGTGCTGATACTCAGGCTTGTCCTTCAGCTGCAAGGACACCCACCACCCTCCAATATGAACACCACTGGGTCTGAAGCAGTCAGGGTGGGGGGGTCTGAGGTCTGACCCTCACTGAGGTGTGGGGAGGGGGATGCCAGCAAGCTGCTGGTTCTGTCTAAATCCTGACCCCAACTTAGCAGAGGTGGCGAGGGATGGCGGGGGGGGGGCACCTGTGGCTTGCAGCTTGGCATTGCCCAGCCCATGTGACCCTTATATACCAGCACAGCAACCTTCTCCCTCATGCAAGGGGTTGGTCTGTGCTCAGCTCTAATGTTCCGGTTTGGGTGCTCCAGCAGCCTTCTCTGGAGGATGATGTCTGATTTCCCTCCCTTGTTTGCACTGCCAATGATTTATTGGCCTGTGGTTTCCCTGGGAGAGGGAAATCTCTCCCTCTCACTTTCTTGCTCCTATTTTCCTCTTGATTGGTTTTGTTACAGATGAGAGCCAGCTCCTGCCTCCCACCCGTGCAGCCATTACACTGGGCTGGAATGCCTCTTGCCTTGGCTTGTGGCCCGGCCCTTCCCTTCTCCACCTCAGCAGCAGCCTGAGTTACATAAGGCCCACATAGAATGCCTCCCAGAAGGATGTCCCTGAACAAGCAGTCTGCCTCAGCATCTGACTGGTCACCAATAGCACTGACTCCACCAGGCAGCAGTGAGCTGTTTGGAGAACAGGCATGTAGGGGTGGGGGTGCGCATGCTGCAGGCTAAGCCGCCTGCTTGTGCTGTGCAGGTGTGCATGCACCTAAGTGCTTCTCATCCACATATATGCATTATGCAATAGTGAATGTATGCTTGAGCAAGCAGGTGTTGAGAAGAGTTTGTGCATATATATGTGCATGTCTGCATACAGATTGCATGTACATAACATGATGCACACTCCTGTTGCCCAGAATGTGAGAGTACATGCAAGTGTGCAAAGGGAGATGCAGGAATGTGCAGATGCATGCAGAAGGGAGCAGGGTGTGGGGACAGGCTGCCCTGCCAGGCAAGCAGGAGGAGGTATCCAGAGGCTGGCAGGCAGGTACAGCAATGGGTGTGCATTTGTTTGCCTCACCCTGCTCTCACGCACGTGAGCCAGCACTCACTAATACAGCTCCCAGGGAGAGTATGATAGGCCTGCGGCATTCCAGGAAAGGGCTGTGATATACACACACCTACAACAGTACAACACCCACTGTGCACCCTCCACCCCCACTCCTCTGTTCATTAACCTCCCCTGAGGAAGCAGGGTGTCCCAGCAGTGCCACCTGCTAAGCTCAATTCTCCCTCCACATTTGTTTTATAGAGACTCCCTCTCCTGGTCCCTGACCTGGTATCTACAGCTGCTGGAGTGCTTCAGTTGCCTGGCCAAATGGCAGGAGCACAGGCCTGGCAGAATGGAAGACTGTCACTGCAGGGGGCCTTGGAAAGGTCGCATCCATCCCTTTGCCTCAGCTGCCTGCTCTGTGCCAAAGGGATATGAAAAGGGACTCACCCCTAGGGAGTCCCAATCACTGCCTGCTGTAGGAAAAGAGGGCGAGATGCCTCTGTACATTTGCACTGGCTGAGGCAGCCAGTGACAGGACAGTTCCCCGTAACCCAGGGCAGCCCAGCTCCACTGTGGTTATACACACACAAGCCTGCTGACTGTACACAGCTCTCCCAGATGCACAGATCTCCCTGCAGCTGGCTTTCACCTGTACTGTGCTACTTCATCACAACCTCCCCTTCACCCCCCACAGTATTTCTCCTAAGTAAACCTGGACACTTTTTAGCCACTCTCTTAAAGGATTGTCTCTTCCCACTGATTTGGCCCAGTGCTTGCGTGTGCAGAACCGGAGAAGACTCCCAGAGATTGACTGAACTGGAGCTGGGCCCCGCTGTGGGGTATGGGGAAAGTTATAGGGCAAAGGGAAAGTTATAGGGCCCTGTCTTACAGCTGGGAGAATGACAGGGCAGCCTCATGCAGAGTGAGGGAGCTGGTTTGTTCCATCATGCTGGTTTGATAGCTAAGGTGGAGCCCTGCACCACCACACACACTCCCACTTCCTGCCTCTTGTGTTTTCACTGCTTAGACTCCTCTCCCATCCATCTCTAGCCTGCCTTGCACAACAGCATCAACACGTTTCCCCCCCATAGAGACAGCTTCAGAGGGCAAGTTATTCAGGAGCATACCCTCAGATGGACAGCAGGCTGTTTTCAGTCCACAACCCCCTTTCAAGGGTCCCTGAAGTAGAGAGGGGATCCCTGCCGGCAGTTAGTGGGCCTGACATTTCAGATAGATCTAAAGGGAAGTTACGGAAACCAGTCCCGTGGCAGCAGCTGGTCCCTGCTTTGCTGGTGCTGCTTCCTGCCCAGCCAAAGCCTTGGCAGCCTGGCCCCCAGGCTCCCAGCAGTCAGAGCGGTATCAGTTTCTCCAGAATATCTGGGACACACAAAGGTGGCTCTCCAATATCTTTATGCTGGGCTCAGTTAGTCACCACTGATGGACTGGGGTCAGGCAGGATCTTTCTTTGCCAGTTCCTAGAGCTTGGTCACAGTGGCCAAGTCTTTACTTAAAAAAAAAAAAAAAGAGAGCAAACTCTATCCCAAGGGAGGCATGTAGTCTAATTGTCAGAGCAGGAGGGTGGCAGCCAGGACTCCTGGGTTCTGTTCTTAGCTCTGCCATAGCCACTGCACATGACTGTGTGAAAGCTGGTCCCTCTCCATGCCTCAGTGTCCCCCTCTCCTAGCAAGTGATGAAGCTATTTCAAGGCATGTTAACGAGATATGGGAGACGGCTCATTCTCTCACAGACATTGCCTGCATAGAAAAGGCAGGTCAGGAAAGTGAAGCTTAGTTTCCAGAGGGGGAGTGGGGCCAACCAAATGACTAAAAGCAGACTTGATGCCTCTGGCATGCCCCAAGAACAATGCCAGTGCCTGGAAGGGAGCAGCACTAGTGGTAGCTGGACAGTAGTTGGACAGTAGCATTTTTTTTAATTTAAATTTTCCATTTTCCAAGCCAAATTAGCCAAAACAAATTCCAAATCCGTGAGTCAGTCCAGAACCATAAGTGGCCTTACTACCAACAAACATCTTCCCCCCCACATCTGGGGCTTCAGATGTTCCCAAATCCTTTGGCGGGCATCCTACTTGCAGGCCCAAGCCTGGAGGCTTGGGTTTCAGATGCCCCTAAGTTTTGCTTGAACTTAGTTATAAGGCCCCAGGAGAAAGCTCGGAAGGAGTCTCCCAGTTCTACAAAGTGGGCATAAAGCCAAGGTTAACTATGCATTATCTATGCGGGTACTATTTCATGGTAGCAGAGCAATTTTCTCCAGAAGTGACTAGGAAGCCACTGTGGTGATCATGGCATTTCCTCTAACAGGTAAGCACAGGGCTATGCTTGATCTGAGCTGACAGGAGTCTGACAGAAGCATTTCAGCACAAGGGTTTGCACCTGCCTCCTACTCAGCTATGCAAGTAACCCCACCACCACAGTCAGCAGCCTGACACACAGGGCAAGCTGCACTAAAGATTTCCCAGGCCTGACCCAAAAGGAGCAGCAGACACAGCCGGTGCCCATCGCTCTACAGACCCCCCACCCCCAACTCCTCACCCTGAAAAGTATCGCTGTCCTCCACCAGAAGGATGCAGCCACATGCTCACAGCCTGCCGGGGATGCTAGGTAAGGGCTGCACTTGGCAAGTCCTATGTGATCAACCCCCCCAGCCAGGTGTGAGCAGGGCTATTTTCACACTGCTCATTCCAGGCTGGGAGGCTTGGAGTCGGTCAGGAGCCAAGCCGACAGGGCCATGGCCCTCACCAGTCCCAGAGCTGACTGCATAGTGAGCACGGGGTCAGCAAGGGCTGTATTTGGACAGGTATTTAGGTGCCTAAAAATGCAGGCTGGAGCCAGACAGACTTACACAGGTGCTGGGCTCTGAACCGCCACAGCCCTGGGGCCCCTGCTCTGGCAGGGCCCGATCCCGAGAAGCATGGAGAGCCCTCCACGGCCAGCGCGTGGCCCCACTGCCTGCCCGGCAGGGCCCCGGGCCAGCAGAGCGGCACCCACCTGTGGAAGAAGAGCAGGATGGAGAGCATGGTCTGGTCGATGTTCCGGTTGCAGATGCCCTGGTTGAGCAGGTAGCAGGGGTCCCGCACCACGGGCTCCAGCGAGTCCTGCCGCATGATGCTGCTCAGCTTGTCGGCGTTGAGGTTCTCGCACACCAGCTGCTCCCGCAGCTGCCGGAAGTTGCTCACCGTGGGGCTGCCCAGGGGGTTGCCGTTGCCCCCGGCCGCGTCCTCCGGGCCGCTGCGGTTGGCCAGGTCCAGGCAGCAGCTGCAGCAGTCCAGCCCCACGGGCGAGCGGCACTCCTCCGAGGACGACGAGGACATCCTGGGCCCCCGGCCCCGCGGCGGGGGCGGGAAGCCCTCCAGCCTGCCCGCCTGCGGCACCAGCGGGGGCCCG